AATTTCCAATGACTTTAAGGAAATACTTTGGATATTTTGTCTACTTTTTCTGGTTGTCTTTATCAGGAAGATTAGTTCTGATGATCTGTTCTGCTGTTACTGGAAGTCTGTTATCTTTTTTAAAATGCTCTCCATCACATCCCCAGTACTTATTTATTTTATAACTGGAAGTTTGTACCTTTTGACCCCTTCATCCAACTCCCCCTCCAACACCCTCTGCCTCTGGTAACTACAAATCTGATCTCTTTTTCTATGAGTTTGTTTGTTTGTAGATTCCTCATGTGAGATCATACAGTGTTTGTCTTTCTCTGTCTGACTTTTTTCACTTATCATTAATGCCTCAGGATCCATCCATATTGTTGCAAATAGAAGGATTTCCTTCTTTTTTATGGCTAAATACTATTCCATAAAGAAGATGTGACATGTGTGTATTGGTGTGTATGTATGTACCTTTATCCATTTATCCATTGATGGGCACTTAGGTTGTTTTCGTGTCTTGGCTATTGTAAATGATGCTGCTATGAACTTGGGGGTGTATATATCTTTTCAAATTAGTGTTTTTGTTTCCTTCAGATATATTCCCAGAAGCAGAATCGCTAGATCATATAGTAGTTCTATTTTTAATTTTTTGAGGAATCATCACGCAGTTTTTCACAGAGGCTGCACCAATTTACTTTCCCACCAGCAGCGCGTAAGTGTTCTCTTTTCTCCACATCCTCACCAGCATTTGTTATCGCTTGTCTTTTTGATAATAGCCATTCTCCCAGGTGTGAGGTGATATCTCATTGTGGTTTTGATTTGTAGTTCCCTTATGATTAGTGATATTGAGCATCTTTTCATGTACCTGTTGGCCATTTGTATTGGTAGCAAACTCAATTTCTGTTTGTCTGAAAATATCTTTATTTCACTCTTGTTCTTGAAAGGTAGATTGAAAGTTATCTTTTCTTAGCATTTGGAAAATATTATTTCAATTTCTTCAGGCTTTCTTTATTCTTTTCAGTCTAATTGTTCTTTTGAATATAAGCTGTTTTTCTCTCAAGCTGATTTCAAGATCACTTTGTTATTTTCGGTGTTCTGAAGTTTCACTGTGATATGTAGGTGAGCGTTTCTTCTATTCATTATTCTTGTGACTCATGCCTCTTCAGCCTACAATTCATGTCTTTGATATGTTCTTAAGAATACGCTGTCCTTATCTTTTCTATTTTTACCTCTCTTCAATTCCACTTATAATTGTCTTCTGGAACTCCAATTAGATATATGTTAGATCTTACATTTGCCTCCATTTTCTTTTGGCCTTCCTTTTATATTTCTGATATCTTTTTCTTTGTGTGTAAACATGGGTAATCCATTCAGCTCTGTATTCTAGTTCACTAATTCTCTTTTCGACATTTTCTAATCTGGTGTTTAATCCTTTTGTTGAGATTTTTTTGGAGTGAGATGGAGATTAAGTTTTTAAGAATATTTTCTCACTGAAATACATTATTCACAACACTCCAGAAGTTTTCTCACACGACTTTGTGATCTCTAGTCCTTCTCTCACACTGCCCCTTTCTCGTTAACTCCACTGCCACACCTCACCCCTGGAAACCACTGATGTGTTCTCTATGTCTATAGTTTCACCTTTTCCGGAATGTCATATAAATGGAATCATACAGTAGTAACCTTTTGTGGTCTGCTAGCAACAAATTCTTTGATAGTTATCTTTCATGTGAGAATGACTTTGTATTGTCTTCATCCCTGAAGTGTATTTTCACTAGATGTAGAATTCTGGGGGAAAAGTTCTTTTGTTTTTCAGCACCGTAAACATTCTATTCAAGTTTGTATTGGCTTCATAGTTTCTGTTGAAAAATCCATAGTTATTGAAATTGTTGTTCTCCAGGAGTAATGCGTCATTTTTCTCTGGTTGCTTTGGTGACACACTCTTTGTCTTTGGTTTCCACCAGTTCAATGAGGATGTGTCTGGGTGTGTGTTTCTTTTGAGTTTATCCTGACTGAGACTGACCCAGTTTCTTGAATCTGCATGTTCATGCCTTTTACCAAATTTAGGATATTTTTAGCCATTATTTCTTCAAATATTTTTTTCTACAAATATCTTTTCTCCTCTTCCCCTGGGACTCTGATGATGCAAATGTTAGAACTTTGATATTGTCCCACAGGTTCCTGAGGCTCTGTTTACTTTTTAATTTTCAATCTTTTTTCTCTTTGTGTTCAGACTGCATATTGATCTATCTTCAAATTCACTTACTCTTTCCTCTGCCATCTCCATTTAGTTCTTTGGGGCTCTAGTGAATTTTTTATTTCAGTTATTTTATTTTCAGTTCTAAAATTTCCATTGGGTTCTTCATTGTAGTTTCTATTTGCTGATACTGGCTACCTTCCAGTTGTTTCAAGAGTGTTTGCTGTTACTTCTTGGAGCACAGTTATAATAGTGGTTTTAAAGTCTTCATCTGATCATTTCAATATTTGAGTCCCACCTTAGAATTGGCATCTCTTGGTTGTCTCTCCCTTTCATAATTGGTCACATTCCTGGTTCTTTGTATGTCAATTAATTTTGGATATCTTAGACTTGTGTGTGTGAAGATGATTCACCTGGAGCTAACATCTGTTGCCAGTATTCCTCTTTTTTTTGCTTGAGGAAGATTAGCCCTGAGCTAATATCTGTACCAGTCTTCCTCCACTTTCTATGTGAGATGCCTCCACAGCATGGCTGAAGAGTGGAGTATGCCCGTGCCAGGGATCCAAACATGCGAACCTGCCACTGCCACCAGATTGCAGCTTTAGAACTTGAACTTGCCTGAGGGCAGGGCCAGGAGAGAAAAAATCAGGGGATTTCACCCCACCCTCTCTGTCCCATAGAGGCCCCCCGCCATTCCTTGGAACAGAAAGAGAGGGCTTCTCTTAGAGCTTGCTCTGGTGCACAATTCTGAGATCCAGGCTTCCTTTGAGTCCAGTCTGTGACATACAGGAGGAAAATAAAATCCAGGAAACTCACTGCTAGGTCAGTTGTACTGTGAGTTTGGTCTTTCCTCAATCCACCCACTACCTTTCACTTTTCAGAGGCCTCTGATGGCTGCTCCACACATCCTGTCTAGGGGTTTCAGTTGCATTCACTGGGAAAGGCAGGGTGGGGTGTGCTTACTCCATTTAGCCAGATTTGAATGTTCTTCTTTTACTATTTTTAATTTTTTTCTTTTTTATTATTTATTTGTAGATGTTCTTTTTATATTCTGGAAAAAAGTCCTTTGTCAGATATATATGTATTGTACATATTTTCTGCCAATCTTGGGCTTGACTTTAATTTTGTGTGTGTGTGTGAAGAAGATTGTCCCTGAGCTAACATCTCTGCCCATCTTCCTCTGTTTTGTATATGGGACGCTGCCACAGCCTGGCTTGGTAAGCAGGGTATAGGTTTATGCCCAGGATCGGAACCTACAAACCCCAGGCCACCAAAGCAGAGCATGCAAACAACCACCACGCCACTGGGCTGGCCCCTGACTTTAATTTGTTTAATAGAGTCTTTGATGAAGTCCGTTTTATCAACTTTTTCTGTTATGATTAGTGCTTTTTGTGTCCTGTCGAAGAAATCTTTTCCCATGATTTCAAGTTCATGAAGATACCCTCTTATGTTTTCTTCTAGAAGATGTATAATTTTAGCTTTTATGTTTAGGTCTATGATTCATCTAGAATTAATTGCATTTTCCTGGCCATGAAAATTTCTGTATTTCTTTCATTTCTCTCTGCAATGTTTTATACTTTTCAGTGTACAAGTCTTACACATCTTCCATTTAATTTCTTCCTGAGTATTTTATGTTTTTCTACTACTATAGGTGATATTTTTTAAATTTCATTTTTAAATTGTTCATTGCTAGTAAGTACAATTACAATACGTTTGACCTTGATGATATTCTTGTATTTTTTAACCTAAAAAATATATTACTTTATGTATCTGCTCATTCTGATGTCTTATGCCTTTATGCATCTGATTTTGATAGTACTACATTTTCCCCTTAGGTGTTTTGTGATTTCTACTGTGATCTCATATTCAGTGGAACTTTGTGGGAATTCCTTGAGGCCTAAGTTGAAAGATTTCTTTCTTTCTTTCTTTCTTTTTTTGGTGAGGAAGATTGGCCTTGAGCTAACATCTGTGCCCATCTTCCAATATTTTGTATGTGGGATGCCACCACAGCATGGCTTGATGAGTGGTGTGTAGGTCCATGTCCAGGATCTGAACTTGCAAACCCTGGGCTGCCAAAGTGGAGCAAGTAAACTTAACCACTACACCATGGGACTGCCCCTCAGAAAAGTTTCTTAATTACTTCTGCCAGGTACCTGGGAGCACTACCAATCCAGGATTATTTTTAAATAAATTGTCAGCTTCATTGTAGAAGAAATAGGACACTTAAGACTATGAATTTGAACCACAGAGTTGCGTAAGGATTAGCTCTTTATTATAAAATCTTAGCACTAAGGTTAAAACATGCAAAGTTCCCTATTTTCTGCCTCAAAACAGCTCTGCCTCTCCTTTCCATCTCACCATGTGGCAGCTTTCTGTGTGGGTGCTTAACCTGCTGAAGGTGAGCCTGTGCCAACCTTCCAGATGGGTGTCTGGAAAATATGGATCACCTTTCCTAAAACCACTTATTCCCACCTCTTCTGTGCCTTGCCTTGGGCTCAGAACTAGAAATACACATGTGAAAAAGGCACGTCGCCTGTCCTCCTGGTGCTCACAGTCTGGGAGGAGGAAACAGTGCCTCCCACTTGTTGAGGCTCGTCTGGTGCCACCGCCATCGTGGTGCTTTCACGCTTGCCGCCCAGTCCTAGGAATGACCGTGCAGGGCAGGCTCTCACGCAGTGTTGTGGGGAGGACACCCAGGCGTGGGCTGCAGGTAGTGAGTCTGGCCCTGGGATTTGAGCCCCTGTGTTGGCAGCCTTCCCTTAGAGGGGAGGAGGAGTGATTGCTGTTGCAGCCAGTGACCTGCTGTCACCTTTCTCTCTCGCAGAGGCTGTGCAGCCCCGTGTACTGCAGGTACCAGTTCCACAGGACTCCAATCCACAAGACTCAGGGGCAGCCCCATGGAGTCCACATCTACTTCCAGGATGTCAATGTCATCTTCCTTGGGGCGATTCACCCCAGTGACCTGAGGGAATACCTGGAGGGCCCCCCCATGGTGGTGGAAGTTCACGACCGGGACCGCAAGTCAGAGGAGTATTCCCGGAAGCCCACCCTGTTTGGGGAGGACCCCCTGGATTCATACCTCAACCTCCAGTCTCTCATCTCTCCAAAAGAGACAGAGAACAACCCCTTTGAATCCCAAAATAAGATGTGGGACCCTTATGGGGTTGCCCAGGTCAGTTTTGCTGACCTCCTTCTTGGCCACAAGTACTTGAACCTGGCTGTCCCCATCCAAAACTGCCAGCCCAAGCCCACAAACTGTGGCGGCCGGGACAGCACGAGCAGGAAGGTTGTGGGGTTCCGGGCTCCCATAGACGGCCTCCAGCACGGCCCAATGCCTACGGGCAACTACCTAGAGGCCAACTCCTTGCTCAAGCTGCGGGTGGAGATCGCCGTGCCGCTGCGGGCCAGGGCCGAAGCCCCCGATCCAGACCTCACAGGCAGCCAGTTTGGTCGGATCATTTTCGTGTTCGGCTCCAGGAAGATCCTCCTGTACAGCCTGCTGCAGGACGTCGCCATGATCAATGCCAAGGCCCTCGACCTGGACTCCTACCCTATCCTGACCATCCAGCAGATCCTGTCAGGGTTTAAGATGCGGGTGAGGATCCAGGAGAAGCAGGACCTGGATGTGCTCACAGGCTTCCACCTGCTGGATGGCAAGATCCACCTCCTCATTCTGGAAGGCTTGGCTGACCGAGGCTTAAAGTGGCTGTGGGAGAGCCACCAGAGGCGGTAGGTGATTTGTTTTGTGTTTCATGGAGAAGTGATGGCACCTGGATGCTGAGTGAGTGGAGAGATCGTTCCAGGCCAAGCTCAGGTTCAGTGTTCTCGTCTATGAGAGGGATATGCCGGTTCAGTTCCTCTTGGGGTTTGTATAAGACGCTTTGCAGGGCTCGGTAACTGGACTTGATAACAGGAAAAGTGGCTTGCCTTTGGTTGAAGGGAAGACTTTCGGGGTATATAGAAGAGAAGGTGGCTCAGGAAAATGAGTCCTGCCTTCAGACTTCTGAGGGGCCAACTCAGTTAAGAGGGAGGAGAATGTTCTCTATGGCCCTAATATGGAAATAGATTTCAACTCGGCCCAGTAAGGCACATCTGATTATTTTAAAGCCTGAGGGGCTGCCTAGGCTACAGAAAGCTCCCCTTTCCTGGAGGCCTTCAGGACCCACTGCTGGCCGCTCAGTGGGGGCGTTGTAGAGGCAATTAAAGCGTCTGGTTCTGGAGCAAGTGGCCCTTCATGGTCCTTCCATTCTTTAGTTTTGGTGACATGAAAATTCTCTTTTCCTTTCATGATTTGCAAGTAGCCTGGTTTGGGTAAACGGGACCTCCCTCCTTTAGTCGGCAGGTTCCTTCTCTGTCCTCAGAGCTCAGATGCCCCAGGACCCGGATGCTGACAGCATCTCCAGGGAGTCCAGAAGTTGAGTCTGTCCACACAGGAGGGGAGTGCAGTGCTGCGGGGGCCTGTCTTGCTGTGCTGATGGGCCAGGAGAAACTGGTGAGGAGCTGGCCTCATGGCCAGTTATCTGCCCAGGAGGGCTAGAAACATGTCCCCACAAAAACATGCACACGAATGTTCATAACAGCATTATTTAGAATAGTCAAAAAGTGGAAACAACCCAAATTTCCATAAACTGATGAACAAAATGTGATATATATGTATTTTTTCAAACTGTGATATATTCCTACAATGGAATAATATTCAGGCATGAAAAAGAAATAAAATATTGATACACATACTTCTACATGGACTAACCTTGAAAGCTTTATGCTAAGTAAAAGAAGCCAGACATAAAAGGGCACATATTATATGATTCCATTTATATGAAATGTCCAGAATGTCAAATCATAGAGATAGAAGTAGACAGGGGTTGCCAAGCTCTCAGGGGAGGGCTGAGGGTGAAGTGAGGAGTGACTGCCGATGGGTACAGTTTCTTTTTGGGGTGATGAAAATGTTCTCAAATTAGACAGTGTTTATGTTTGCACAGCATTGTGAGTATACTAAAAAAACACTAAATTTTACCTTTAAAAGGGTGAACTTTATGGTGTGTGGTAAAGAATTGGGCCTTGCCCAACAGAGGTCTGGCCTTTGCCCTTGGCTTCTGGGAGGTGATCTGTGTCAGACCTGATAGGACTGTCTTCTTTTAGGTTGGGGGCTTTCCACACAGGATCTTAGGATGTGACCAGCCTCACCTGATAGTCAAATGATGGAGGGTGGCCGTACCAGAAGGACCAACAATGTGGTTTAGGGTGGAAGCTTCCGGTCAGGCAGTGTCAGTTGACCTGGATGCTGAGATTGCTGTGTGGGCAGTCAACCAATCGTGGCTCTGTAATGGACCCTCAGTAAAACTGGACATCAAGGCTTGGGAGAGCTATTCTGCGCTTTGTCACTCGTCAGTGTCATCGGGGCAGCACACCCTGACTCCATGAGGAAAGGGCAATGGAAGCCTTGTGTTCAGAACGATCCTGGACCCTGCCTTATGTGTCTCTTCCTTTAGGTGATTTTAATCTGTATTCGTTCCCAGTAATAAGCCCTGAGTATGAGCATAACAGCTTTTAGTAATTCTGTGAGTTCTTCTAGCAAATTGACAAACCTGAGAGTAGTTTTAGGGATCCCCAAACTGGCAATTGGTGTCAGAGGTCAGGGCATTTTGGGGGACTGTGCTCTCAAACTTTGCAGTTTGGCTAACTCGGTGCATATGGTATCGGAATTATATCTCAATGAAAAGTTTTCTCCAATGGAAGAAATAATATAAAATATGTTCACTGACCCCAGTTCAATTTATGTAGAAATAAAAAAAATCATTAACGAGAAAAAAATTTCATATGCTTGGAAATTAACAAATACTTCCAAATAACCCCTGGGTCAAAGAGAAACTGTAATGGAAATTAGACATTTTTGATCTGAACAATAATGACAATAGTATATTATCTAAATTTGTTGCTTGATGTCAAAACATTATTTAGGAGAAATTTAATAGACTTAAATGCTTGTATTAGAAAAGAAGAAAGCCTGAAAATTACTGAGATATAACTATAGATATTGCAGACATTGAAATGTGTTTTAAACTATGTCAATAAATTAAAAAGTTTACAAGAAATTAAAAAAAATAATACCAAAAATATTTTCAGATGAGATAGTTTAATTAGGTTTCTGGATACAAAAATTAATGTAAAAATCATTGAATTTCTGAATACCATCTACATACACAAAATAATTTTTAAAAGAAACACTTTAAAAAATCATAAAAATATGAAATTCACAGGAGTAAATTCGACAGAAAGGAAAGTCTTCTGTCATGAATATTATAGAACTTTTAGAAACATTAAAGAAAACTTAAATAAGTGAAGAGACAGACCATGTTCATGGATTGGAATACTCAATATTATAAGTGTCAATTATCCCCAAATTGGATCTATAGATTCAATGCAACCTCAGTTTGAAAATACCAACTTTTAAAAAACTGTGGAACTTGAAAAGCTGTTTTAAAATTTTACATCAACATGTAGAGGCCTAAAAGAAAGACACTCTTGAATAAGGACAAGATGGGAGAACTTGCTCTAGTAGATACCGAGACATTATAAAACTCTGGTGATCAAACAGCCAACATCATACTCAATGAGCAAGAACTGAACGCCATCCCCCTGAGAACAGGAACAAGTCAGGAATGCCCACTATCACCACTCTTATTCAACACAGTGCTGGAGGTTTTAGCCAGAGCAATTAGATGAGAGAAAGGAATAAAAGGAATCCAAATAAGGAGTGAAGAAGTGAAATTCTGTTTGCAGACGACATGATCTTATATATAGAAAACCCCAAAGAATCCACTGGAAAACTAATAGAAATTATTAACAACTACAGTAAAGTTGCAGGGTACAAAACCAACTTACAAAAATCAGTTGCTTTTCTATACTCCAATAACAAACTTACAGAAAGAGAACTCAAGAATATCATTCTATTTGCAATCGCAACTAAAAGAATAAAGTACTTAGGAATAAATTTAACCAAGGAGGTGAAGGACTTATACAATGAACACTATAAGTCATTACTGAAAGAAATTGATGATGACATAAAGAGATGGAAAGAGATTCCATGCACAGGGATTGGAAGAATAAACATGGTTAAAATGTCCATACTACCTAAAGCAATCTACAGATGAAATGCAACCCCAATCAGAATCCCAATGAAATTCTCCATGGAAATGGAGCAAAGAATCCTAAAATTCATATGGGGCAACCAAAGACCCCAAATTGCTAAGGCAATCCTGAGAAAAAGAACAAAGCTGGAGGCATCACAATCCCTGACTTCAAAATGTACTACAAAGTCATAGTGATCAAAACAGCACAGTACTGGTACAAAAACAGGCACACAGATCAATGGAAGAGAATTGAAAGCCCAGAAATAAAATTGCACACAATGGAATACTACTCAGCCATAAAAAAGACAAAATCATCCCATTTGCAACAACATGGATGGACCTGGAGGGAATTATGCTTAGCAAAATAAGCCAGACTGAGAAAGACAAACACCAGATGATTTCACTCATATGTGGAATATAAACATACACATGGGCAAAGAAAACAGTTCAGTGGTTACCAAGGCAAGGGGGGTGGGAGGTGGGCACAGGGGGTGAAGGGGAGCACTTATGTGGTGACAGGCAAGAAATAACATACAACTGAAATGAACTCAATAAAAAAAACTTTGGTGATTCAGACAGTGTGGTATTGGTTCAGGGACAGACAAGCAGACCTATGGAATATAGTAGAAAACTCAGAACAGACCTAAACATAAGTGGTCACTTTACATACAAAATATTTGATATTGCAAAATCAGTGGGAAATGAATATACTAAAATCACCGAATTGTACACTTTATTTTTTTTCATTTTTATTTTTTGAGGAAGATTAGCCCTGAGCTAACTGCTGCCAATCTTCCTCTTTTTGCTGAGGAAGACTGGCCCTGAGCTAACATCCGTGCCCATCTTCCTCTACTTTATACGTGGGACGCCCACCACAGCATGGCTTGCCAAGTGGTGCCATGTCCGCACCCGGGATCCAAACCAGTGAACCCCGGGCCATGAAGCGGAACGTGTGCACTTAACTGCTGCACCACCGGGCTGGCCCCACTTTAAAAGGGTGAATTTATGCAATGGAATACCACTTCACACCCACCAGGATGACTAGAATCAAAAGTCAGATAATAACCAGTGCTGGCGAGGACGTGGAGGAGTCAGGATGGGTGTTCACTGCTGGTGGGGGTTAGAGGGTGGACTCACTTTGGAAAACAGCCTGGCAGTTCCTTAAACGATTTAGCAGAGTGACTGTGTGACCAGCAACCCTGCTCCTAGGTAAACGCCCAAGATAAATGAAAACATATGTCCACACTGAACTAGCGCATTGTTCATAACAGCCATTACATGGGAACAAGTCACATGTCCACTGATTGATGAAGAGTAAACAAAATGTGGTATATAAATACAATGAACTATCATTTGGACATAAAAAGGAATGAGATACTTGTTAACGCTACAACATGGATGAACCTTGAAAACATTATTCTAAGTGAATGAAGTCGGTCACAAAAACCACATATTATATGATTGATTTGTGTGGAATGTCCAGAATGGGCAAATCTGTAGAGACAGAAAGTAGATTAGTGGATACTCAGAGCTGTAGATCAGAGAGTAGGGATATAGGGGTGATAGGTAAGGGGTACAAAGTTTCTTTTTTAGGTG